CTGTCCATCACATTATCATATGTCATGCATGTAAGGGGAGTTCTTTCAGATGATGGCATTAAAGAAAATGTCAGGGGGCACCAACGAGATAAGTTTTAATCCTTTTAATATCCTTTGCAAATATCAAGGAGGCAGCTACTTTCATGATACGTTGTTGTGGACCAGCAGAGTGCTTTTTGATTTCATTACAGTATGTCAAGATAATGCGCTTTGGAGTTTGGACAAACTCACTAACTGACATCAGACTCCTGGGGAAAAGACAAAGTCTAATCAAATCGAATTAAATAAGGAGATAGAATCACAGAAAGATATACAGCGGAAAAACAGAAAACGGAGGAATGAAAAAAGATAGAAACAAAAAGCAAGTACAAGTAGACGCTAGCAAGATGCCCTTTGTGTTCACCCGAAGGCTTAATGTCCTTAACGGCCAGCTGCTCTGTTTCATGCTTTAATAGTTTTTGCACTAATGATCCATCTTTGCCATCGCAATGGGAGTTTTGAGGCTTAAAGACAGAGACAAGACAGACCCCACATCTGAAAGAGCCTTCAGTTAATACTTTAAAACTCCTCTGGCTGTTTGTAGGTTACATGATTTGACAAACTTGTCCTATATTATATACGGATCATCCCACATTTTATTCATTAACTGGATACCTAGTAAATGTGCAACAAAGATGTGATTGATGAAAAGTTAAAATCCACACCCACACAAACAGCATGAAGCCACAGATCTGTACATCGCAATTATATTGATAAAGATGAATTGTTCTCCTGATGTTTTTTTCTGAAAGCAAGGGCCGAATCTCACAACTGCTCAGTGACAGTGACCCAGCGGGGAAGCAAATGTGAAAATATAAAAATGAAGTGATTGAAAATACATGCTCTAATTGTGTTTGCACTTACTGTACTGTGGTGGTGATGTGCAGCCGTCGAAGGCCTGATGTAGGGAACTGGCGAGAGTTAATGTAGGAGACTTTGGTCATGGCTGTGTTGATGCTGTCCAGATCCTCTCCCTCCACCACCAGCACGGACTGAGCGGGGTTAAAATGGAACTGGAGACACAAAGAAACACAAAGAGACGTTCAGATCTCCAGATTCAGACAATGTGGTTAAGCTTACTTACATTTTGTGTCTTTTGAGGGAAAACATGTGCAACAATAGCTTTTACTAGACTGTTTATTAGCTAAGTTATATCGAGTTACATCCTGTTCTGCTTAGAAGTGACAGATGAGTTCTTCTGGTGGCTAGGGTTGGGTCTATATATCATTTTATTGTGGATTTTGATGAATAAACACTACCAATACATTGATAATGGTACATTTCTAACATCGGTCATTACAAATGACTTTAAAACTTGCTGTTATGGAAAGTGAAACATAGAACCAGATAAAAAAAAATACAGGAAATATGAAGCAAGTTAGAAAAGACTCAATGTTCCTTTTTGTATTTTTCACCAAAAAGGATGTCCAATTAAAAAACTTGTGTCTAGTATCTGTGAAATTAAATGAATGAAAATATTGGATGGCTGAAAAATGTAAGGCAGTACTTACAGTAAAACGTACTAATTGTAATACTTTTTAGTGTGATTTAAAACACTTATTGAGGATTTTTGGAACTACATGTTGAATCCCAATTTCTTTGGACAGTTAATGAACTGTTTTGAATCCTCGTTAAAACATTGACGATGAGAGCAGATTTGTGCCACATCGACATGACATTTTTAAGTGTTAAGTGGGTTTGTTTCTATGCACCTTGATGTCCTTGGCGAGGCTTTCCAGGGAGTTAATATCAAGGCCTTCTTTGCAAGCCTGCAAACAGGAAATAACCTTCTGGGTTTCGATGCGGCCCGGTCGGATTGTCAGACCTGACAGGCTGCCACGGAAATACTGGGTGAACCTCGGGGTCCCTACCTCACCCCCTAGAGCGAGAGATAGAGGAGACAAACACAATCAGGAGAATGGGAGCAGTGACATATGAGAGGGTAAAGGACAGAAGTGGAATAAAGGAGAGGAGAGGTGCGGCAAAAAGGTCAGTTTGATAGATAAAGATTGGGAATGTCACAATGTCTGCCAATTCCTACTCTCACATTTTCCTTGTTTCCTCCCCCCCCCTGCCATCTACTAACATCTATCCTGTGCTCTCAGACACTTCAGTAACCCCCATCACAAAATCACACCAGTTCCCACCTCCACTGTCCCACAAACATATATATTATTGCCAGGCAGGTGGCTCTTCTTCAAGGTTCAAGGCTTTTATTAGTAATTTTTACGTAGCTACAGTGTAGTTATGACGATGAAAATCTTAGGTCACAGGCTCCTCCAACAGTGCAACACAATAAAACAGAAAAACAGAAAAAATAGTGCAAGTAAATATAAAGAGAAAAAGAGTAAAATAGTGGAATAGTGCAATAAGAGTCTATATACAAGTGATTGGAATTTGATATATTAGATAAATTATTTCTAAGTAGCAGCCAGATGAATGTTATGGATGTTGTTTAAAAAGTTCAGGTGTTTAATAGTCTTATGGCCTGTGGGATGAAACAGTCCCTTTCTCCTGCCTGTCTTTGGACTTGTGCTCTCTAGCCTGACCTAAAATCAACTTGAAATTTATATTTAACAGGCCTGGTTTCAGAGTGAAGCTTTTGGGTTCAAACCTGTTTTTACTGAGCCTTTGCAGGGTAACGGAGACAACAACATGCATTATGTATGTTTCAAAAGGAAAAAGCAAGCATACTTTTCCCAAAATAACATCTGTGAATCTCTCAGAAACAGCTTAAATGACCCACATGGATAGCAGGTTATGAAGTATTTAGAAGTTATTTTTCACAAAGGATGTAAGAAAAGAAGCATGCAAAACAAGTCTGAACCTGGTTCAGACAGGAAATACATGTTATTTAATACAATCATAAGACATTGTTTTTTCATGGTTTCCACATTTCAAGTGGAATTCAAATCAACATATTTAAGGGTGTTTTTTATTTAAATGGACGTCATTAAGCTTGAACCTGTAACTTCTAATTAAAAATGAAAATAAATGCTCATAATTACATCTCTGGATTTAGTTTTCTGTATGCCTACACCAACATTTATCCTTTAGTAAGAGCTTTTGGAAAACAATGTTGAATTAAGAGAAGAAGCTACTTAAGAACAGGTGGCATTAAGTAATCCTGTAATACTAAAACCAATATTTGTTGATTTAACACCTGACAATAAAGCAGATACTTTGACACGTTCTGTCAGGTTGATGTATTGACTCAGAAGTACCAGTTTGACGGATGTAACGCGTGCTTGACCTTTTCTGCAACTGCAGCAAGGAGTGAGAGAAATAAATCCCTTCATGCAAAATATATGGAACCGTAATGGGCACACATTGGCACTGAGTGTATGTGTGTGTGTGTGTGTGTGTGTGTGTGTGTGTGTGTGTGTGTGTGTGTGTGTGTGTGTGTGTGTGTGTGTGTGTGTGTGTGTGTGTTGCAGTCTGTGGGGGTCAGCACCATCACAAATGCAGTTGAGCCATGACATCTTCTTAAGAGAGCACTTTTTTTATTCAGAGTAAAATGGCCGGCTCTGCCCTGCAGTGCAATTTCACCACTTCTGATTAAGTGTGTAATTTCCACTAAATCATAAAGGTCTAGCGCAGTGGTTCTCAAATAGTGGGTCGCGACCCAAAAGTGGGTCGCGGACCCGTTTCGAGTGGGTCGCTACGGAGCCCTGGAGGGCTCATTGAGAGAAAAATAAATAAAACGTGGCCACGTTTTACTTTCTCGTTCGCACGAGTTAATAAAGCGTGCGCTCGAGTTAATAAAGCGTGCGCACGAGTTAATAAAGCTTGGCCTCGTTTTGAGGGATTCCTGTCCGTGACTCACAGTATCTGCTGCCCACAGCTGTTTTATACAAGGAAAACCTCCTTCACTTTATGAAATCTCTGCGGCACCAGTGGCCTGTACTACGAAGCAGGATTTGCTATTTACACTATTCATTCATGAAGTATGACGCTGCGCTGTCAGCACGCGTCTCCATGTTTGAGATTGGTCAAATGTTGCTAACCCCGTCCCTTTCACGTGAACCCGCTCTCAGCCGGTCAGAGAAACCCTGGTTGATTTACTGACTTGATAACCAGCTTCGTGGGACCGCTTATGGACATCGCGTTTGTTAGGGTTAGTTAAGCCGGGTAAATCGAACATATCAAGGGTCTGTTGAACTGGCTTCGTCGTACAGGGCTCTGGAGGCAGTAACGTGTAACTCAGCAGAATCTGAGAAGAGCAGCACCAGCTGCAAAGAGCTATGCCTTTTACCGTTTACTTCACTGCGTTTCCCTTCATTAGAACAGCTGAATAGAGATCGAGGCTGCTACGTTTAAGCACAGACACCTATAAACATAGAACTACCAGAGTATTCCCCCTCGTTTTATGAAGGAGATGTCCTGTCACCGAGGCGCATGATGTGTGTGTGTGTGTGTGTGTGTGTGTGTGTGTGTGTGTGTACTCAGCTCCGCTCTGTGTTAGGGTGACTGTGTGTGTGGTGTGTGTGTACTCAGCTCCGGCTCTGGTGTTAGGGTTGACCAGGGTGCCCAACCAGAACTAAAGTGGGACAAGGAGATATGCTTTGTGGTGGCGACGCAAGTGTGGACACCCTCTCACTCAGCACCCGGAAAAAAACATCCTCATTTCGTTATTGTCGTTCATTTGGTTTATTCAACGAGCATCCAAATAAACAATGACAGATAAAGTGAAGTCAAAATGCAGTAACAATTAGTATCTTTGATAAAGAAAAGTACAACTATAGGCTAACAAGGCAGCAGGCATTATTCACTTCAGCTTGTTTTAAAATGCAATCTCCTATTCGAACTAGTGTATTACCTGTAAAAGTAATGGTCAACATAAATTAATGGGCTAAACAGATAAAACCATAAATACAAATCTAAAACTGGCAGGAGGAAACATCTCAAAAAACATAATTAATAAATAAAATAGCTTTCAGTTTTGGTCATCACAGCAACAACAGGTGTGTGTTCGTGGGCTATTTTGGTCACCTGTAGAACCACTGGTTGTCTTTAACTCTGTCAAACACTCTCCACCGAGGGCAGGGGCAAGGCACATCTGCTTATTATGGACGCTGCTTTTGTTAGCGACCACATGACTTGTTCTATTTCTATCTCAGAGTCCTGGGGAAAAATGGTCGGGCGCTAGCTTGTTACCCACAGCATTGGTGACCGGGGTATGATTTGGGAGTGTTGCCACTGATGGTAAACACTTGTTATTTCTGCTACTTTACCTTGTCTGCAGTGGCCATCATTTTTTGGTTGAGTAGGAACTGTCTCCATAGAGTGTGGATGTCTCTTTTGTTGAGCGACACGTTTCTTGTGAAGAATGCATTCTCTGTTGTCTTTATTGACCGTCGTATTTCACCGCCTCGTGAAATAGAAAATTCTCTTGCAGAAGATGCCAAAAAATCTGCACTGGCTTCGCACCCACGGGTTAAGTGTTCTTCCAGTCTTTGTTGTATTGCAGCTCTCTTTTCTTCTTAGCTGTTAGTTCGAGTTTCCTCCATTTTCATTAACTGCTGCGTCGGCCTGCGTTATTGACTGACTTTCTCGGGTTGTTGTCCTGTTTGGCTGGGACGGACGGGATTGTGTGTGAGTGAGTTACTCTCACTTGGTAACACTTGACCAGCACCGCGTGTGTTACAGTTTGATTTTCAGCAAGCACACACCGCCGGTGATGATAGCCTTCCCTGCCTTTCGCAACGAGCCATTGTATAAAGCTGATTTTAGAAAAGCGTTGTTACGCCAATCAAATTGAAAATATGCACGGGACATCGTTCTCAATTTGCGGGACGCACAAAAGTCGTGAAAATGCTGTGCAGGTTCCCGCGCAAAGCGACATCTGGGTCACCTACTCTGTGCGAGTTCGGTGTGTCCGACACCATCCGGCATTTGTTTTCAAATGCCTTGACGACGCGGTAATTTAACACAATCTGGTGTTCTCCATAGTTTTTATATGCTATCCCAAATGAAAGCAAATTTTCGTTAATGCTTCAATCTGCGAGTTTTGATCGTCCGTGCCGGGGGCACCGGGAACGGACATGATGAGTGATCATACAACGAATGCGCCCGCCCCCCCACCCCAATCACACGCACGAAAACGAGGGCCACGCTTTAGTAACCTCGTGCGCAGCTTTAGTACTCGTGGGCCGCTCGAGTTACTAAGGTGCGCACGAGAAGGTATCTCGCGTCGGCGAGGGCCGAGAACAGTAAAAGGCGTGGCCACGGTTTTTGTGATGTTTCGTCTCTGATGACCCTCGCAGGGGCTCACGCGTGACGTGAATGTGTGCAGTGAGAAAAATGGTTAATTGAACTTGTTATTTTGTTTTTTGCGGAAGAAGTCAAACTTGTTATGTTGTGGAAAGGCCCGTATTTTCTCTAACGCTCGTGCATTGCGTAGGCGTTGGCATTGGGAAGTACGGAGACATAAACGGTTTTGAAAACGTCTGTCACGTATTGACTCATCTTATCTCAATAAAGACATCTTTGCTGATGATCAGAATCGAAGATTGTTGCCGGAAGTCCCACGGTTGAATACTTTTGCGGATACCTATTCTTATATAATCCATGGATCAACTTCAGATAAAGATGGGAACACATAATGACATATGACCCCCCGGTTTGATGGATGACAGTTCAGCAGAGCAATGGGGGCTATCTCCCTTCCCACAATTAAAGTAAAGGAATGTAATTACATTACATTGCGATTTAGCTGACGGTGTTTATCCAGAAGCGACTTACTAATAAGTACATTCGACCAGGGAAGATCACAACCTTGAGAAAACAGCATGCATCAGTACTCAGGTTTCATAGAGGCCAAACATTTTAAAGTGGCTAACTCAACTGGCTTTAGAATAGCCGTCCGTTTATTAGGCCTATGACAACGTTGTTAGCAGTTCTTTGTTAGTTACAGTGTCTGGTCGCTGAGTGGAGTCGGAAAGGATGTTTTCACGTCTGGGCGCGGCAAGGATGGTGAGCTATCTTGCTGTCCTGATTTCAATGGGCGCCTTCGGCAGCATTTTGGAGCCAGGGATAGCAAATCCACGTGTTTTTGCTGAGAACTTGGTCCCCCTCCAGTGGCGGGTGCAGCGACGTTTGGCTGATGCAGAGCGAGCTGCACGTGGCTGGGCGTGTACGGTTATAACCATTCCTGGATGGTAGGAGAAGGGCCAGACTCCATTCAACAGCATGGTACGCAAGTACCATTGCTGTGAAGAGGATTATGCCGTCTTACTGGAAGCCAGATGAAGGGAGCGGTAAGGAGCGGGGTGGTGTGGGAGAATTTGGAAGGTTAAAGAATCCAGACGAGCCGCTGGCCGATTCTGATGAGCTGCAGAGGTCGGAGGCATGCAGGTAGACCAGCCAGTGAGAGTTGCCATAGTCTAGGCGTGAGATGACGGAGCCAGGACCAGAACTGCTCGCTTTCTGGGTCAGCTGGGACGTATCCTCCTTGATGTT